CAAAATCTATAGTATTTTTGTTTCTAATATAGGCTGATCAAATGGCTCGTTGAAACTCTCCAATTGAATGTTTGCTTTTGACCATAATGAAGTAATTTTACAAGACTCCATGAATAATTTCCATAGGGTGTTTTTCAAATTAAGCTTATTGTCATATTTCATAATTTTTGAATTTTCAAAAGTGAAAAAACCTTGTCAGTGATAGCAATAACAGTCTCTATTGACATGTTTTTTTTTTTGCAATTTCAATTCTACAGTATTGTGAATATTTACCAGTTATCACCAACATTTCGCCAGAGGGAAGTGGTAAGCCCATTCTCAAAAGTAATCATTGGATAACTCAGACAGGTACAGTGGTTGATATTGGCTTGACACTTAAGGAATGCAAGTCACTATGTTGACTTTTACCTTAGCATATATTTGTGGGAACCATAGTTTACTGTGAAGATTATTTTTTCTTTATTCCTTTCTAAATGATAAATATTATGATCAGTATCAGAAGGTTTGTGACCATTCTGATGATTTTCTGCATAGTGGTGTCTTTGAAATTTCTTGTTTTATTTCATCTAATGTGATACCATCTGATGTGGCTGTGCTTGATGGAAAATTTACAAATTCTTTGGCAATTATCACTTCTCTGATGGAAATAGTTATGTTGGCTTATGAATGCCCAGATATGTTATTTTAGTTTGTAGAGTTGTTTTTGCTAGAATTATGTTTTTTGTTTTGTTTTTTTTTATCAATTCTCCCTAATGATACTGACACAAAGGGTTACTGGGAGTGAAAGAAAATGAGTATACTAAAAGGAACTGGAAACCCAGTCCTAAACAGAAAACAAAGGATAAGGGAAAAGTGTGAACCTGACAATAGGAGAACCTATTTACACCTATTATTTTAGGTTGTGTACCTGGATTTACTTTGACCACTTGGCTTATTCATGTTGATGGTGGAGAGGTATATCTGCAAACTGTAGTTATTTTCACTGATAAACACATTGAAATGTTCAGACCCACACAATGTTTGTGAATATTTTTTTTCACTTGGTTTGTTATTTTGTGTAAATACAGCTGCAATTCCTACTGAACTTTCAATTCACAAGTGTTTCTGTAAATGTGTTGATTTCAAAGTATGCACTCTCAGATAATTATCAGAGTTGAATGTATGTTCTTGACTTTACTCACTTGTAATATTTTTGTTTTGACAGATTTCTTGACAGGTTAATTTAGAAAAGTTATTGGGAATATTGTGCCATGTCCAAGAAGGTTCAAGACTCAAAGGCATTTTTGACATAGATGCTTACGCAGTCTTCTCACTTTAACAGGATTTGGTTTTATGCTAACATCACTGAATACATAAAAACAAATAATTTAATCTGCAGTCGATGAAATACACATTTTTCAAAAGTTAAAATCAGACTTTGTTTCTGTAAACATTTTTGTAAACCTCACAAAATGAATAAGATTTATGAACCCCTCCATAAAAAAAAAAAGAATCAGCATACAGTGACATTCCCCCAAACATATTGAAAAGATAATTTTAATGTCAAAATCTTTATTATGAAGAGGAAGGATCAAAGTATTTTTTGAATATTTAATTAATTTTTTTTTACTCCTTTTTAGAATATTAGAAATTTTGATGAAAAAACTTGTTTTTCTTGTGTCAGCGGTTGTACTAACTTTTAGTATAGCAAATTTTAGCCTCTTTTTTGCAGTGACAGACACATTAATATGGAAATTCCTGCAAAAATCAAATAATTGTTGGATTTTAATGAGATTTTCAGGACTTATTCACAAATGAATGAAATTATTTTTGAAATGTTTTTATTAGAAAATCTTGGTATTTTTTTTTACATGTGTTTCAGAAACTTTCTAAATTTTATGAAAACTTGAAAAATTCAATGTGATAATTTTTAGTGACTATATTAATTAAAAGCAGAATTCTTTGAAAAATTTGAATCACCAATTTTTGGGGTAAAATCAGACAGTGTCTTAGTCTTGTAAAGCTTATTACAATCTGACGACCCTGAATATTTTAAAAGAATTTTGATTTGTTTTTGTATATACGAGCTGAATTTCTTAAATTCTGATCAAATCAATAACATGGTCATTAAAAGTTCACATTTTAAGTGCTGTCCCCACCACATGGGGAAAAACTCTCATAAACTTTCTCTCTTGCTCCACCATATTTAACTATGAACATGTTTGGCAGTCAATCCATTGTCAATAAAATTGATTAACACATCAGAAAAACAAGACCCCATGGTTAAGAAATGATTGCATACAACATTTATGCTATAAATATATGTTTCAAATTGGATTAATCTAACTTTAAATTTGCTATTTTCCTTCAACGTTTCAGAAATATTTTATTTTTGCAAGATTTTTAAAACTGAGAATTAACTTTTGTTTACAAATGTGTCAAAAAAAAAAAAAAAAAAAAAAAAGCCGTTTTTATCAATTTTACTGGTAAAAAATCAATTCCATCCAATATAATTTATGTTTGAAATACACCAGAGTATTTTGCTTACAGGAAAATAGTACATTTTATCTCTTAGCCTTCAATTAAAAAGCTAAAATGAAAGCTTTTTCAATTTTTAAAAAATCATTTTAAATTTTATGTATATACCGAATTAGTGGAGGTACCTGAAAGACTTTTTAACTAAGGTAAAAACAATTTTTATTTGTCACAAGAATAAACAAGGATTTTTTTTTCCCTTAGGGAATTATTTAGCTGTTAGCAGCAACCAGTGATATAATTTTCGCTTTTAATGCTTACATCAAATATTTTTAAAACACATGGGCCAGTTTCTCAAAGGCGAGAGAGAATGATAAAAACATATTTTTACCTGGTTTTCAAGATCTTGTATTCTCTGTTCCAAAAGGCTTACGTCTTCTTCATGCTTGAGATTCAGATCTGAGATTTCCTCTTTATAAGCACTTTCTGTAGCCAGTTGTTGTTGATGCTGTTTACTTATGATCGCCTCTAATTCATCGACGCGTTTATAAAGAGCCTGCAAATGCCGGTTAGCTTCTTGGATGGTGGAACGAGGGAACATTTTGACATTTCCCGTTTTACTTTCGGGCAACATTCAATGGTTTCCTTTCTTAACACAATAAGGAAGTAATTTTATTAAGTTCTTTACGTTTTTTTTTTGTTTTGTCACGCCGCTCAATAAGTTAAACAGAAAATCACATTTTGATAAGAGGCTAAAGACAAATGAATCAAATTTTATTGATATTTTCTTTTTTAAATCAATTTCCTGCAAATATATTATTTTCAAAAGTACCATAGGAAACTTGTTTGACCTCCTTTTTCTTACTTTATTTCGTCGTTACGTTAATGTCGTTACTCATTTATAGACACGTGTTTGAGAAACGCACACAGCATTAAAATATTTTAAAATTTTTCTTGTGCGCATCTCAAAATAAATATTTTCTTCACTGAGGAAGTAAAATAATTACACGTAATTGCAAGTCCATGAAAATAGTATTAAAAAATGGATATACAATAATGATTGGGCGAGATTAGTTTGAAGTGAATAGAAAATGAGATGTTATTAAAATTGATATTTACTTTTTTAAATAATTAAGTTTAAATGAAAGAGATAATTTGGAAAGGTGTATAAGGACATTTTGTTTTCATAATTTTCAGTCACTATAAAGTTTTGTTTACGGCTTTTAAAATTATTGCAAAGTCGGCAGAAAATTCCAAGTCTGATGCAAGACTATTTTTTAAATTCAAAATAATTAAGAAAACAGTACGAGTAGAGTTTGAAGACTTAGTTTTTGTTTTCCTTTCTTTTTCGGTTCAACGTTTTAGTGCTGCCAAAGCAATGTCATGTTTTTAAATCGAGAGGAATTTTAAGACTACGAAATGTAGATATTTCATGTGGAGGGATTTAGTTATAACCTCAAATACCATACAAGTTTAAGATCCACCATAAGTAAAAACTTTGATGATTATACTTGCTGCTAACCGGTAGAAAAGTGCACCCAAACTCAAACACCGTACTCAATTGTTGCACTGGCAGTTCACCATTTTCTTTTTCTTCCATGACGTCATTTCCTGTTAACTACCGGAAGTTAGTTTTCACATCTAAACTATGCCATAATATAATGGTGTTTGAACGATAGCCTCGTGTAATGTACGATAGCCAAAAAGAACAACGTTTTATCTAACCAAACATTTGATAATTCTACATTTTTATACAATAGCCGAATTACGAAAAAGTAATTATTAGTTTAGAGTATAAATTAAAAAGACAAAGTACCGTTTTGAAAGAGGTAACATTTCCTTAGTTGTCTTTATTTATTATAAAAGCTACATTGCTATTTTAAGAAAATATTAATTAAATAAAGCATTTTTTAGTTTTTTTGCAAGTGAAATAATATGAGAACAAAGAAACAGCTCATTCTAAACTTATTATAGTATAAAAACCAATAAAAATAACATGTTTAATTTTAAATCTAATTTAATTTTGGATTATCAAGCAACAAAAATCGATACATAATATCACTGGTTAATTTGTTTCTTCCATAAATGAACATCCATATTTCTTTCAGTGCAGAGTTAAAATTTAGGCGTTACGTCGAAATTCTAGTAATTTTTGTTTTTAATTAGCTCAAGTATTAACACATTATAACTAAGTAAACTAAAGTGGGAGAATTTAATACTTGAATTGTTTTAATGTATATTTATTTATACAGTTTATTTAAGTGCAACCAATAAGAATAAGTAAGACTTTACTAGTTTGAGATAGTGACCAATCAAAATAGATTTTACATATGGTCATGGGTAATTGTTTTTCCTCTTTCATAAGCTTACAATACAATTTTCGCGCCATTTCGTTGAAAGTGACAAAAGTAGTTGGAATTTTTTACGTGAAGAGAAGTTAAAAAAAACAAAGTGGAATTGCATTTCTGTTGATTAGCTTCCTATGTAGAATCTTGAGTTTATTTTTACTAGTAAATACTGTATTATTTTTAGTGAGTCCTTTCGGGATGGCTAAAGTTAATATAAGCAATGTAGTTGTCTTAGATAATCCGTCTCCTTTTTTAAACCCTTTTCAATTTGAAATTACGTTCGAATGTTTGGAGGACTTACCCGAAGGTAAGTTATGGAAATATGAGTTTTTTTTTCTTTTTGTGCCGTGAAAGTGACCCAGACCCTTCTCAACATTAAGTTTCAGGCAGGATAAAGGTCTTTTTATAATTTTGTAACGTTTTGAATTGTTGTGTTATTGCCGTATATTCTAGATTTTTACAGTGAAATATTGTTTTTTAGTACAATTCACACTTTTTATATGGTATATAAATTTTAATTTAACTCTTGGTTGACTCTCGTGGCTTCAGGGAATTATTTTTTATTAGTAACTACACCTCATGAAACGCTGACTTTTATCTTTTTATTTTTTATTAAAATCTTACAAATGTACTTGTTTTTCTTTTAAATAAAACGTAACCGTTGGTTTAGGGTACCCATTTTTCTTTCTTTTTAAAGCAAAGTTTAGTCTATCAAGACTTCATTTTTCATGTTTAATTGCTGAAATTTAGTTGTTTTTTTTTCTTTTCGAGATAAATTGCTTGAAAATAGTGTATTTTACTTAAAATTCAAGTAAATGCTGTCTAGTCTATAATTTCTATAACTATCTTCAAAGTTTTACGTACATATATCAAATAAAAAGTAACGATCCGTTATGTATTCAAGGGAATAATACAGGTTATTTTTATTTTAAATGGGATCTTTTCACTCCTATAGATAAAGATATTCTTTTTTAAGTGAAAGAAATCTGGTAATCTTGAATCTCGTAAAATAAAAAAGGAATCTTGAACAAAATCGAAGAGGAGATAACTCAATTTTTTTTCTCAAGCAATTTTGTTGATGAAATTAATTTTCTTTCCAGAGATTAATTTTCTTGCTTCAGGCTCACAATCTTTTAAAATTTATAAAAATTGCTTGGCCGAAATTTTCAAAGTTCCCCCTGTGCATTAAACGAAATTTCGCTCAATGATTAATAAAATGGAAAACTAAAAACGCTAAAAAAGAAAATGTAAAACGTTTCCTCTTTAGATGAAAATTCGACATATTTTTCCCTCCAAAAAGTTACGTCTTAAAAATCCATTTCATTATTCCAGATGTTCCGTTATTTTTATAATGCATTCATAAAGTTTCCTTATGTTCTCTGGTTGATCATTTCAATTTTCAAACTTCAAAGTATAAGATTCCAAAAACTTTATCTGGTAAAATGGCGATAGGCAACTTAGTCTAACTAAAAAAAGTTTTATTTTTATTTTTTGTCAATTTTCAAGCTTGATTTTGGGATGACATTTTTTTAAATTTAAAATATTGCCCTTTTTTTTCTTTTTTTAAATGTCTTTGTCTCTACTTATGTGATATATTTGACCTGATGGAGCATGCTACCACAAACTATTTTTGGAGGAATATGCAGATTACAAATTAGTTTTTCTCTGATAACTGATACGATTTAAACTTTTTCTTAATGTTACTTTTTTTCAAGAAATTAAAACCGTCGTTTAAGTTTTTCTGTGTTTTTTTTCTTTCCTCTGTGTTAGTTTGTTTTTATTTACTACTTTTAATTGTAATCGTTAATTTTTTTAAAAAAAAAAGTATGCATATACTTCTGTTGATATTTTTTGTTAAATTTTTATTTAAATTTAATTTCCACAGATCTCGAATGGAAGATAATATACGTGGGTTCAGCCGAAAGTATGGATTATGATCAAGTGCTTGATTCTGTTCTTGTAGGACCCGTTCCCGGAGGAAGACATATGTTTGTCTTTCAGGTAAGTAGAATGATTGGTGAAAATTTTGGCGGTTCGCAAGATTTTAATTAATATCTTTAAGGATAAACCTAAAGTATTTCTTGATTATTTTCTCAATTTTTTTTTATTATCAGGAGCCAGAGATTACTATGAGAGATTTAGTATCTTTTCGCAGTTAAAAGCTTTCTGAAATTCTTGCAAAAATCAAATATTTGTCGGATTTTAGTCAAACTCTCAGGACTTATTTACAAATTAATTTTTGTTTTTTGTTTTTTTCCGATGAATATTTACAATTGTTTACATTTTAATTTTTTTTTTTAAATTAGAATAATTTGTTTTAAATCTTAAAATTTCATTAAGTAAGTCCCTCCAGGAAATCGCAAAAAAAAAAGACCATAGCATGATGAAAAAGACGCCAAACTTGACGAAAACAATTTTATCATCTAAATGTTTATTATTAAGAGGAAAGATCAAAGTTTATTTTAATTATTCTTTAAAATTTTTCCTTTTTAGAACATTCTAAATTTTTGATTAAAAAACCTTGTTTCTCTTTGTATCACTGGAACTAGTAAAATAACAGACAATTTTTAGCACTTTTTTTTTTGTTTTTGACATTAATTTTGAAAATCTTGCAAAAATAATTCTGATGTTAATGAAACTTTCAGAAACTATTCACAGATGATCGAAATTGTTATAAATGTTTTTTTATTAAGGTCATGGTAGAAATATTTTTTTGTATTTATTACCCCCCATAACTAATTTTATGAGAACTCTAGAAATTCGATCGAGTGCACTTAATAGTTAAAATTTTTAAAAAGCACAAGGCTTTGAGGAATGCAAATCATATTTTTTTTGTAACATACAAAAAACTCAATAAATCAAAGATACTATTTAATAATTTCAAATGCTTTTTTAGTTGTTTTTACGAATATGGACAATCTTTCGATGAAAAATGAATTTTTAATTACAGTTATAATATTTATTTAATTATAATAGATTTTTACTTTTAAGTTGTTAAAATATTATAAAATAAGTTAAAAGCAGCATCCATTTTCGTCAGTGTCTTTATAAGATTTTTTTTTTTTTTAGCACGTTGTAAATTGCATCTTTTTGAGTTTTGACTAATCAGAAGACCTGCAGTAATTAAATGTAATTTTGTGTTTATAATCGGGCTGTAATTATAAAGATGTATTAAGTTGTGTTACTGGAGTTAAGAATTACTGCTAGTGTTAAGGCCCTTACTTTTTTTGTGAAACACGTGTGGAAAAGTTAATTTGATTTTTCAACTGAGAAGGGTACCTACAAGTATCAGTATCAATCTTATAATCTATAAATTAGATACCTTTCTTATGAAATTTAATCTCACTCTTTAAGTCTTATTTTAATTTCTTTATAATATATTTTCAATAAAGCATCATAAACGTAAAGCTAAGTACAAAAAAAAAATTAGAGCGTTGAAAGTTTTCCTTAAAAATAAAGAGGTAAATAATTTCTTCACTTACATGTAACTAATTTCACTTTTCTCCTTCTGTAGAACAAATTATCCTCACGGAATCCGTCAATATGTCATTCATCACCTGTTAAGTGAGGCGAAAGTTTATGACCTGCTTTGTTTTATTTTTAAATTACATCTTTTCAGTGCAGAAGCTAAGTTAAACTTAGTTCAAAATATAATAAACATAATTTCTGATTTTCTTAAAATAAGTTTTGAAAAAATAATTGATTTTTAAAAATTTCAAACTTATTTTCATTTTTTTTTTTTTTTTTATAAAATGGAAAAAAAATGGTTGGCATGTTTGATTATCTGCCAATGTTGCTGACTAAAAATAAAAGATTTTTAACAAATTCCAGATGTGCTAGGAAAGATTAAAAAATGGAAAAAAAAAAATACCCCAAAATATTTTGATCTTTCCTCTTAATAATAACATTTTAAGTTTTTTTTTTTTTTTTTTAGCAATCTTGTGTAGGTACCTATAATGTCACCCTTTTTAGATATTAAGTAAAACTATATTTATTAATCATGAATGGAAAGCTTAGTAGAAATTATTATTATTTTATTTTTTTTTAAAAGAATCTTGAATTTTTTTTTTTTTTTGTAGGTACCTCCACCTTGTCACGTAAAAAAAAAATATCATATCTATATATTTAATTAGAAAAGCTTTTAATTGCTTTTGTAAATGTGTTATATTAAGGACATTGTCTGAAAAAATAAAATTATTCTGATGAATAATGAATTTTTACAAGAATTTATATTTTGATTATAATAATTTATAATACTTTGAAATCGTGTAAAATTCTGTATTGGGCTATTTCCTGGATGTGATATAGTAATTGTGTGGAGACAAAAGTCAATAAATTATTAGATAATTGTGGAAAATGTGTTCATTTGTAGAAATTAGTAGGTCGTTAAAAAAAATCCCCCAAAAAACAAAAATGCGTTCTTAGATTTTGTAAATTTTATGTCGATTCTAGTCAGCCATACTGTCATTGCTTCATCACTCAATTGTCCATCAATCATCGCTTTAAATAAATGACTGATCAGTAACAAATTGTTGTATATTACTTTTTTATGCTCTAAGTAATATTAATTTAACTTTAAATTTTCTAATTTTACTCAAATAACTTGTCAGAAATGTATATTTTGTAAGATTTTTAAATTGATAAAGTTATTTTGTTTACAAATTTCTTAAAATTAAGAAAATGGCTGCTTTTAAGAGTTTTAAATCAAAATTAAATTTGACATTCCAATCTATCTGAAATATGCCAGAATATTTTACTTACTGGAAATAATAAATTTAATCCTTTAGCTTTCAATTAAAGCTAAAATGAAATCTTCCAGAATGCTTTTTCACTTTTAAAAATTAATTTCAAACTTTAGGTATCAAAAATTAATTCCGAAAAAGTGGAGGTACCTAGTTAGGTACCCCCATGAGATCACTTAAAAAAAAATAAAAAAATAAATGAATAGCATAGCATGATGAAAACAAAATTTTATTGTCTAAATATTTGTTATTATTAAGAGGAAAGACCAAAGTATATTTTAATTATTTTTTAAAATTTTTTCCTTCTTAGAACATTCTAAATTTTGATTAAAAAAAAACCTTGTTTCTCTTTGTATCACCGAAAAATAAAAAAACATACAATTGGAAAATCTTGCAAAAATAAAAATAGTCGGATGTTAATGAAACTTTCAGAAGCTATTCACAGATGATCGAAATTGTTATTTTTGTTTTTTGTTTTTGTTTTTTTTATTGAAGTCATAGCAGAAATATTCTTTTATATTTGCCCCCCCCCCTCAATAACTAATTTTATGAAAACACTAGAAATTCGATCATGTCAGGCTTAGTGATTACAATAGTTAAAAGCACAAGGCTTTGAGAAATGCAAATCATTTTTTTGTTTGTTTTTAATTACCCCCCCCCCCCAAAAAAAAAACACACGTGAAAATCACTTCTGAATTGTAACATACAAAACTAAATAAAACAAATATATTATTTAATTTCAAATGCTTTTATTTATTTAGCTGTTTTTATGAATATGGACAATATTTTTCTGAAAGCAAAAAAATTTTTGTATGAAAGATGGATTTTTAATACGATTATTTGTTATTTCTTTAATTATAATAGATTTTTACTTTTAAGTTGTTAAAATATTATAAAATTAGTTAAAAGCCACATCAGGTTTCCTAAGTGTCCTCATGAGATTTTTTTTTTTTTTTTTTTAGCGTGTTGTAAATTGTATCATTTTGACTAATCAGAAGATCCACAGTAAATAAATGTAATTTTGTGCTTATAACTGGGCTGTAATTATAAAGTACGGAAGACCAACCAGAATATAATTAAGTTGCTTTATTTGAGTTAAGCATTGTTCTCCGCTGTTAAGGCCTTTACTTTTGCAAAACACGTGGAGAAGTTAATTTGATTTTTCAATTTCAACTGAGAAGGGTACCTACAAGTATCAGTATCATTTTATGAAATTTATATGATCTTATTTTTATATTAATCTCAGTTACGACATTTTTCCATAAATGAAATATCAAAATTAATAATAAAATGAATGGAAACAGAAATAACACAGTAAAATGCACATAAAATTATAGTATTTTATGTATACTTCTGATAAAATTTCATAAGAAAGGTACCTATAAATTAATTAGATACCTTTCTTATGAAATTTAATCTCACTCTCAAGTCTTATTTTAATTTCTTTATAATATATTTTCAATAAAGCATCATAAGCTTAAAGGTGAAAAGCTAAGTACAAAAAAAAGAAAAAATTAGAGTGCTGAAAGTTTTCCTTAAAAATAAAGAGGTAAATAATTTCTTCACTTAAATGTAAATAATTTCACTTTTCTCCTTCTGTAGAACAAATTATCCTCACGGAATCTGTCAATGTCATCCGTCACCTGTCAAGTAAGGTGAAAGTTTATGACCGGCTTTGTTTTTATTTTCAAATTACATCTTTTCAGCACAGAAGCTAAGTCAAACTTGGTTCAAAATATTTTAAATAAACATAATTTCTGATTTTCTTGTTCTATGGCGGCTTTAGTCATCAAAACTAATTGAAAATTGTGTGAGCATCACTTATATATAATCTTTAAGTATTCTGTAATATTAAAAATTTATAAAAATGTTCTCTCTAATCTTTTTTTTATTAAATTTTAGGTAATTCCTGGCTTTAAATTTCCTAGTTATCACATTTTCTGATAATTATAGTGTATGGGCTCCCATATTTACAAAAATCAACACGTTTATACTGCTTGGTAAAAAAATGCATTTCTATGATATTTTGAACTTAAAGTAGATATTTGTTTAAATCAGATAAATTACAATTTTATTATTTCTCAAAGTTTCAGAAAAGTCTTATTTTTGAAAGATTTTTTTTTTTTTAATTATGAGAATTACATTGTAATAAAAGACAACTAAAAGGGTGCTAATTGGCTAATTTTAGCAAAAAAACTTTGTCAATTTAAATTAGTTAAACAGCAAATTGTTTTGCTTATTGGAAATGTTAAATTTAATCTATTAGCTTGAAATTAAAACTGAACTTTAAACATTAGGTGTCACTTTTTGAGGTAGTGTTTTAAGTTTTCTAGAATCTGTTAGTATTGCTAAAATATTTCTAAATCAAAATAGTACACAAAATAAATTATCTATATAGGTATTTGCCTCTCTCTCTGTGTGTCTTTGCCTCTCTCTCTGTGTCTTTGCCTCTCTCTCTGTGTCTTTGCCTCTCTCTCTCTGTGTCTTTGCCTCTCTCTCTCTGTGTCTTTGCCTCTCTCTCTCTGTGTCTTTGCCTCTCTCTCTGTGTGTCTTTGCCTCTCTCTCTGTGTGTCTTGCCTCTCTCTCTGTGTGTTTGCCTCTCTCTCATGTGTCTTTGCCTCTCTCTGTCTCTGTGCCTCTCTCTCTGTGTCTTTGCCTCTCTCTCTGTGTGTCTTTTTGCCTCTCTCTCTCTGTGTGTCTTTGCCTCTCCTCTCTCTCTCTCTCTGTGTGTCTTTGCCTCTCTCTCTCTGTGTGTCTTTGCCTCTCTCTCTCTCTCTCTGTGTGTCTTTGCCTCTCTCTCTGTCTCTCTCTCTCTGTGTCTTTGCCTCTCTCTCTCTGTGTGTCTTTGCCTCTCTCTCTCTCTGTGTGTCTTTGCCTCTCTCTCTCTCTCTGTGTGTCTTTGCCTCTCTCTCTCTCTCTCTGTGTGTCTTTGCCTCTCTCTCTCTCTGTGTGTCTTTGCCTCTCTCTCTCTCTCTGTGTGTCTTTGCCTCTCTCTCTCTCTCTGTGTGTCTTTGCCTCCTCTCTCTCTCTGTGTGTCTTCCTCTCTCTCTCTCTGTGTGTGTCTTTGCCTCTCTCTCTCTCTCTGTGTGTCTTTGCCTCTCTCTCTCTCTGTGTGTCTTTGCCTCTCTCTCTCTCTGTGTGTCTTTGCCTCTGTCTGTCTTTGTGTGTCTTTGCCTCTCTCTCTCTCTCTGTCTCTCTTTGCCTCTCTCTCTCTCTGTGTGTCTTTGCCTCTCTCTCTCTCTGTGTGTCTTTGCTCTCTCTCTCTCTGTGTGTCTTTGCCTCTCTCTCTCTCTCTGTGTGTCTTTGCCTCTCTCTCTCTCTGTGTGTGTCTTTGCCTCTCTCTCTGTGTATGTCTGCCTCTCTCTCTCTCTGTGTGTGTCTTTGCCTCTCTCTCTCTGTGTGTGTCTTTGCCTCTCTCTCTCTGTGTGTGTCTTTGCCTCTCTCTCTCTGTGTGTGTCTTTGCCTCTCTCTCTCTCTGTGTGTCTTTGCCTCTCTCTCTCTGTGTGTGTCTTTGCCTCTCTCTCTCTGTGTGTGTCTTTGCCTCTCTCTCTCTGTGTGTGTCTTTGCCTCTCTCTCTCTGTGTGTCTCTGCCTCTCTCTCTCTCTCTCTGTGTCTCTGCCTCTCTCTCTCTCTCTCTGTGTCTCTGCCTCTCTCTCTCTCTCTCTGTGTGTGTCTGTGCCTCTCTCTCTCTCTCTGTGTGTGTCTCTGCCTCTCTCTCTCTCTCTCTGTGTGTCTCTGCCTCTCTCTCTCTCTCTCTGTGTGTGTGTGTCTCTGCCTCTCTCTCTCTGTGTGTGTGTCTCTGCCTCTCTCTCTCTGTGTGTGTGTGTCTCTGCCTCTCTCTCTCTGTGTGTGTGTGTGTCTGCCTCTCTCTCTCTGTGTGTGTGTCTCTCTCTCTCTCTCTGTGTGTGTGTCTCTGCCTCTCTCTCTCTCTGTGTGTGTGTGTCTCTGCCTCTCTCTCTCTCTCTCTCTCTCTCTCTGTGTCTCTCTCTCTGCCTCTCTCTCTCTGCCTCTCTCTCTCTGTCTCTCTCTCTGCCTCTCTCTCTCTGTCTCTGTCTCTCTGTCTCTCTCTCTGTGTCTCTGCCTGTCTCTCTCTGCCTCTCCTCTCTGTCTCTGCCTGTCTCTCTTTGTACTTTTTTATCATTGTAAATATTTTTTTTTTTTTTTTTTTTTTTTTGTTTTTTGCAAGATTGAAATAATTGTCAGATTTTAATAAAATTTGCAGGACCTTTTTAGTGACTATTAGTTAAAATCAGAATTTGAGTAATTTAATTTAAATTTTTTTTTTTTTTTTTTTTTTTTTGCTTGCTTTCACCCCAAGCAACGCAATGGAGCTACTCATATGCAAGAAGCAGTTACTGAGACGATGAGAAAAACTATTAAGGATAGAGAACAATAAAAAAACAGGAATTAAAAAGGCAGAAGATAACATTACATTTGCATTTAAATTTTTGAAGATCAAAGTTGACTGGAAAGAAAGCTGAAAGAGTCCCACAAGTGAAGAAACTGTTAGCATAGACCGAAGCTAAGATGCCATTAACATTACAGGCTCTTTGTATTTTATCTAGAATCTCTAAAAATATAGAAGCACCAGATTTAAAGCATAGATGAATCTTTCTTAGCAGCAGACCTAAGACTTAAGTTTGACTTTAAATACACCAAACTATTTTGCTTATTGGAAATGTTAAATTTAACTTATTAGATTAGAATTAAAACTAAAATTAAAGATTTTTGTTATCCAAGTCATGGCCTTCTGGCATGTGAAAGTAAAAATACTGATTTTTTTTTTTTTTTTTTTTTTTTTTGTAATTTTATTAAGATTTAGGTCAATTGTACTCCCACTTAGAAACTAACTTGTACAAGTGAATTTTCGATCTCCCTAATTTTTACATTAAGTAAATCCTCAAATGTGGTTGTTTTTTTTTTTTTTTTTTTTTGTTTGTTTTTTTTTCCTGTCCTTTCTCTGTCCTTTCTCTGTCCTTTCTCTGTCCTTTCTCTGTCCTTTCTCTGTCCTTTGTCCTCTCTTTCTCTTTCTCTGTCCTTTCTCTGTCCTTTCTCTGTCCTTTCTCTGTCCTCTGTCCTTTCTCTGTCCTTTCTCTGTCCTTTCTCTGTCCTTTCTCTGTCCTTTCTCTGTCCTTTCTCTGTCCTTTCTCTGTCCTTTCTCTGTCCTTTCTCTGTCCTTTCTCTGTCCTTTCTCTGTCCTTTCTCTGTCCTTTCTCTGTCCTTTCTCTGTCCTTTCTCTGTCCTTTCTCCTGTCCTTTCTCTGTCCTTTCTCTGTCCTTTCTCTGTCTTTTCTCTGTCCTTTCTCTGTCCTTTCTCTGTCCTTTCTCTGTCCTTTCTCTGTCCTTTCTCTGTCCTTTCTCTGTCCTTTCTCTGTCCTTTCTCTGTCCTTTCTCTGTCCTTTCTCTGTCCTTTCAAAGATATATCTATCATAAACGTGTAGAAAATGATCCAAAGTTTTAAGAATTCAGGGATAAAATCAAAATTTAAAATGGTATTGAGGAGGTACAGTTGCACTGTTTGTTTGTTTTTTTAATCAATTCTGAGTGTTAACTGCTTTGTAGAAATTTTAATCTATATCAATTGTGCAGTTAAAATTTTTTTTTTTTTTTTTTTTTTTTAATGATTGCTTCTCGTTTCTTTGTATATCCAAATAAATAATTTTCACTTTGAATGATAAAATCAAATTTGCAGTATCACAGATATAGGCTATATTGTATATAAGTAAAAATGTCCTGCTTGGGTAAATAAATGATTGTAATGTATATTTCATGAAGCAGTGTGCATTTGATTTGGTGATTTTTAAAAGCTTTTTCAAAAACTAGAAGTTTTAGAACCAAATTTTTTTTTGATAGGATGGTGCATTTTTATTTTTTTTTGTCCTTTGGAAAAAAAATATAATAGTTAGGATGCATATTTTAGAGATGAAGTTAAAATATAATGAAGAAATTAACATTTTTTATAACAGCTTAAAAAATGTTCTCAATTTATGCAGAAACAAATTGGAAAAATGAAAATTTCAAATATTTAAATTTGGAAGTTGGCATAATTGCAAATAATCATGTTTTCTGTTAACCAATGAGTACGTCTAAAATTAGTCATATCTAATACTAGCAGTAGAGCCTGGCGTTGCTCAGGGATGTAACAGTAAGAGATAGATCAAGTATCGACTATCATAAAGACTGAAAAATATAATTGACAAAGATTATTGTTTAAGGTTGATGGACACGCATGTCTTAATTAGTTTTTTTTTTTTTACAAATTGGTCAAACAAAAACATTGTTTTCAATCGTTATGAGTCTATCGATTGAATAGAATTTTATTATAAACAATTGTCTTGTAAATGGAATTTTTAAAGCATTCTGAATGTAAAAATAAAGAAAAAGTGTGCAAGACAATAAGAAACACTACCTGCCAAAAAAAAAAAAGTAAAGTTTTGTTGAAATTGGTTGAAAAATGTAGGAAATCCGATGCCATATATAAACAAACAGACACACACAACCTGGGTTTTATAAGTATAACTCTATATGAGTTGTCCCCCTTTCATTCCCACGATGCCTCTTAATTTTGTTTTCAAATTGATTTCATGCAAAAACAATTGTTTTTCCAATTTTTGGCGCTGTCAGAACCACCGCAAGGTAATTTTACGTAGCCCTGTGAAGTTTTGTTGGAATCAGTTGAAAAATGTAGGAAATCTGATCCAATATATAAACACACACACACACACACACAACACCTGGGTTTTATAAGTATGATTCATTTATTCTATTAACTTCATCTTGGTTGTTATAGTCACGGATGGTAGCAACCAAGATAGTCAAAGTAAATCGGTGTATAGCAGTAATTACTAATATTAAATTCTAACAAAAACTAGTATTGAAGGACTTTTAGAGATACAGTCAGTTATGTGCCGTGTGTGATACCCACTTAGATGATCATGTATCTTTTGATACATGACTGACAAGGCAGATTTTTTCCTGCAGTAGATTGCCATTTCTTTCTGCAGTAGACCAGTTATTATCCAAGGCTAAAGAACCCAGTCTGTCCTGCTATTTACCCATAGCTGGAGGGAGAAGAGGAGGATTCATACCTTTCCCAAGGGTATTAGCACCTAAGTGAATGTAATGGGTTTGGCTGGAATTTGAACTCGGCTCTCCGATTCCTCAATCCAAGCCGCTATCCATTCCTCTACTGTGCCTCCTGCCCTAAATTGTTAATTTGAGAGCAGCTGTTTTTAGTTTTTTTTTTTTTTTTTTTTTTGTGTTTACCCTCATGACCTTTTGTGGCTACAAACTTGTGCAATTATAGAAAGTCAGAAGTGTGTGTGTGTGTGCGCGCAAGGAGTGATACAGGCATGCAAGCATTTTAAAGTTTTTTTAATTCTTTTTTTCATTTGTCCAGGCAGGGCCTCCAGACACAAGTAAAATCCCAATTGCTGATGCAGTGGGTGTGACTGTTGTGTTGTTGACTTGTTCCTACAAAAGCAAAGAATTCATTAGAGTTGGTTATTATGTGAATAATGAGTACAGTGACCCAGAACTGAGAGAGACTCCACCTGAGATGCCAGTCTATGAAAAGGTAATTTTATTGTTTATAATCATGATTGTAGAATGATAATCTGGAAGTTGCAATAAAAAGCAGAAAATGAAAAAAATACTGATCCAAAAATTGACATTGCTTCATCTATGAAAGTTGCTTAACTGTTTAGCTACTTAACTAGAAACCTATTTTTACATTTTATCATAATAGTTTGTAATATATAAAAAACTTTGTCCCCCTACACACACATACTTAAGTATAAACTTTAGTAAAATAACCCCTGAAAATTACATTTTCAATAGTATATTTGTAATTTCTTTTTTTTTTTTCTTTGTGCAGTTACAGAGAAACATCCTGGCTACGTGTCCAAGAGTGACCAGATTTAAAATTGATTGGGATGACAATCCTGATAGTGAAAACATTCCTCCAATGCAGAATACAGAAACTGAATCAAATCAAATGTATGAAGGAAAGTCAAATGATGAATTGCTAAAACCTGTGTCTGCCTTTCATGAAGACAGCAACAGTATGCGAATGGAAGCAGAAGAAATGATGGCATAACTAACGTCTTGACTTTTCTGTTCCTCTTATGTCCTCTCCCCTCCTCCCCTTCATACACGTATAAAAGCAAGGAGAAACAGCTCATCTCATCACAAACCTTTTTCTATAAATTTATTAAAGATCATTGCTGTATTGCTGTGCATAATGGTATATGAACATATATCCAGTTTTTTCCTTTTTGGAATTGAATACAGATATATTTATCATGGCTCAGATGTACGAAGAAATATTTCCAATATTTTTCAACTGTTATTTTTTTTTTCTAATTTTATTTCTCTCCCTGAATATTTCCTGATCAGGGGTAAGAAATTTATATACCCAACATTCAGCAAGTGAATATTTCCATCATCTTAGTTATTTTCCCCACTTTCATTTGTAAAACTGCTGTGTGTGTCGATTTTCATAAAACAAAAGTGTCTTGCATTCATCACATTGCATTGTCAAACCTTTGGAGTTTGGAAAGCAACATTGACCATCTTATCCAAGTTTATAATGCATATAAAAAAAACATTATTTTCTCTACAGTTAACAAATGTTCCAAGTGTTAAACAATGAATTTTAAATATGAGGCATGGTAAAAAAAATGACTACTTAATCCTGTTCAATGAGAGTATTGAAATGTTTTTTCTTTTACAAATTTGTAAATTAATATTTGAAATTCTTTCCATTTTTGTTGTGTTGCACTTTGAAGAAAATTTTTTTTCTTTCACAAATTACTTTTCTTGCTATCCTTTCTTTGCCACAACTTGAAACGTTACATAGTTGGTAAGAATTTTAATAGTTTTTTTTTTTTTTTTCATTAATTTAAATCTAATGATTAACTTTAAAATAATGTATTATTTATTATTTTTAAAGGCATTCATTATAAGAAAGAAAAATGTTTTTTTAGACTTTTTTTTTCTCTTGTAAATACAATTTGTGTACAACAGTAATGTGTTTTCTTTCTGTTGCTTCATACAAACTGATCCTTTGACTTGCATTTTTCTTCCCTCTCTTTGCAGATCAAATAAGTTGTCTGTTCTAAATTTGAAATTCAAGCAATGCTAGGCAGGAAATGTCATGTTTAATAAAATACTCTGAAGTACTGCTTTTGCAGACTGAATTTAATGTTTAAACTAATTCAATTTTTGAATGATTTTAGAGGTACTTGCTTTGTATTGTTGCAAAGAAGAATGAGTTTTGTTTTTTTTTTTTGTTTTTTTTTTCTTTTCTTTCTTTCTTAGTTTCTTCCATAAAGACTGGATTATTTAAAGTGAAGAGATAGTCTTGTACCTTGTATCCTCTTAGTCAGAATACTTATTCATTCAACGTGTTTTTGCTGAAATAACACAAGATGGTAGGGTTCCCTTGGGATTTCATGTGTATTTTGACTAGGGATTAAACCTAAGAGCTGCTGAATAGGACTTTTTTTTGTAATTACCTGGAATGTTTTTGTGTATGACTGAATCACTTTCCCTCCAACTTAAAATTGTAGGGGATGTTTAAGTGATTGGTATATTTAGTTATAGGTATAAATCTCTGTCAATCTTGTAGAATTTTATTGTGCCAATCAAACCTACAGTTTGTGGTAAAATAAGTTTCTCTGTCAATAGATGAGAAAGGAAAACAATTTTTGACAATTTACCAGGTTTTCAATTTGGATCTTAATGAAATTGTAAATGAATTCAAACTTTGGCTGATTATTAAATGGTGATTGTTTAATTGAAAGCATGTAGAGAAATTAGCAGCTAACACGATAATTTTGGTCTTATTTAATCGATTAAGTTTTGAAAATTTTTAGTGTAATTGGTTTCCAATTTAATCAAATGTATTAGATTGACTTCTGTGTAATTCAACCATCTTATCCTGTAGCTAAAATACAACCATGTTATTTTGAAAGATTAATCCGAATATCTTTATGCCTCAACTCACTCCAACATTCAAGCCCTATACTGAACAAATTTGAGTAAAATTAAAAAACAAAAAACCTAATAACTCTCCTTTTGTGGTGGTGGTGGTGGGGGGGTACTGAAAAGTTTACAAGCTGACCCCACTTCTCAAATCATTTTCTTTTTTAGAGCTTCTTGGTTGCTCTGATCTTTTCAAGCAATCACTCTCCTTCCCAAAATTTGGTGCTATGTTCTAATGTAATGTTAATAATGCAAGAAACTAAATTGGTTGGTTAAGACAAGCATGTGAAATATAAACTATAAATATAAAATATAAGTCATCTTTTAGGTTTATGGAAGAAATTTTTTTTTTTTTTTTTGCTACCTGGAAGTCTTAACTGGAGTCACGTGACTTTCCCACCACTGAAACTTACAGAATTTGACTGGAAGATTTTTCTCACCTCTATAATACATGAATTTCTTAAAAATCAGTTCATTCATCTGAGCCATTTCCCTCAAATTCAATCTTAAATTGTACAAACCTATCATTATTGAATTGGGAGTTGGTCTTTATATTGGGTTTGGAGGGAGGAATGAAATAAAAAATTACATAACTAGGAATTTATTTATGTATGAAATGTAAATAAAGTTTTTCTTTCTTACAGAATTTTTTTTTTTTTTTTTTTCTCTTAAATAGTTAAACACATGCCTTTAACAACATCTGTGACTTTGGAAATATGAGTTCATTTCAAGATGATGTGAAATTGGGGAAATGTAGGTAAACAGCATTTGCTCCTAAATTCAAATAAGCAAAGTAGATTTCTGGGCTGAGCAGTTATTATTTGTATACCTGTTGGTTGCAAGGCCAAATATGTTAATTGAGATGTCGTGTTATCAGTGTTTTTATCAGCTCACTATATTTTCACCTGTTTCTAGTCACTGAATGTGGTTGCCCCCTGGTTTAATGTTTACTTGCTAGGGTGTAATTATTGAAGAATCCCTCTGGTCATTCTAGTAGACCATGGTTATGATTTGGAGACTAAAGGCAAAAAGATTACAAGTAGAAAGAATACCAGTGTCTCCGGGTGTACTACAACAACTCGTATGGAGAATTAGTTAGAGATATGTGCCACAAGCCAGCCTTTAAGTTTCTACATTCAGGATTCTCACAAGGAAGTAGCTTAGTGAATTAGTATTGGTTAATAAATTTGGTACCATGATCTACAGACCTGAAGACAAGAGTGTACAATGTCTGAAACCTGATTTAAATCTAATCCAAATGTAAATTTCTAACCCATTATAAGATGGACTGATTGTGTCTACATGAATTCTGTTTTCTCTGTTGTTTGTTTTAAAACTTACCCTTTTCTTAATGTTGAAAGTTATCTTACTGTCATTGTCTCTGGGAGAATTTCTTCACACACCCATCATCAAAATGCAGATCTGGCCTTCAAATGGTAAGATTAACCTACTAAAACTTAACTAATTGAAGCAATGAGAAATAATCTCAAAATTGTACGTGGTATTATCATCCTTTATTTTCAAAATTTTTAAATTCCTTTCAGCTATAATACTTGTAAAACTTGATAACTTTTTTTTTTAATAATCATCCATTAGATCTTCCTTAATTATAATAATTTGACTCGGGCTTGCTTAATTTTATCATAGATGCTTGTAACTTATCAATTCCTTTTTATCTCCCTATGCTAATTACCCCGACTTGTCATCAAACCTGATTATATTCTCTGTTGGTTTGACTATTTGAGTGCATTTCCAACTTTCCTATGTGAGACCTAATGGGTACTAAAAAGGATGATTGATCTGAGGTTGTTTTCATTGAGATCAGTGGTAACCAATCCATCTCTTGCCTGAAATTATTGTTAGCAAATAAACTTAGTCACAATTTCCTTGACACCAAACATGAGAAACTAGACATAATATTTTTATTGGATTGTTTACCAGAAGTTCAACCATATTGCCATTTGTACCACCAAATGTTGTCTAAAGATAGACTTGGAACATCAATCAAAATCATTGAACTCTAAACAATGCACAGCTGAAAGTTAAAAATGAACCAAATAGAATTCAATAACATTGGCTGGCAGGGTAGGTATGAGGGAGATAACTTCTCAGCAAGGCTTGCATTTTTGTTGTAAGTTAAGACAAAATGGATTTAACTTAATTGCTGATAAAGTTAATAGTTAAATATTTGAATATTTTAACTTCTCATTAAACATGTAAGGAAGTTAATATCAGGATTGATCATATGGCAACTGTCAAAGAAAAATTCTATACTCTATATTTATATTAAATGATTCCCAGGAATATTATGTAGGCTGTTGGAGTTGATCGTTCTGATTTGCACCCTGCTCCATGTCACCCTGTTGATTAATCAGAGCTGACAAAATTCAAGTCAGTAATTGTTCTGGTTTGATCCTGTCAAAGAAAAAATAAGGACATCCTTGCAGGCGGAATAAAAGATTGGAATTTCTTCAGGGTCTATTTTTATGCAGTTTATATCATTCTTTGTACAGAAATATTAATCCTCCCCACTTTGCTATGGTCTGGAACAAGGCTCAAGTCAGAAGTTCTCTCTGGCAGCAAGCTGTGTGGGATTCAACAGAGTAGTCATCTGCACTCTGTGCAATTCAACCAGTTTCCAGTCAAAGTGTTCTGCTTATATTGACTTTTACTTAAAACTGGCATGGTGGTTAGAAGAAACTCTGGGTCTCCTATCTTACAACAAGAGCCCTTTATTGTCTGGCTCTGGAAAATTATTTTCTCCATATTTGTAGAAATCCCTTTTCCATTGGTCACAGATATCAAATCCACCTTGATAACTTCTTCCTTCTCTTATTTGTGCCTCATACCAACACCTCCAAAACGGCATAGGCAATTCCTCCACCCTTGGTATTTCATCTATGCCTGTCACTGAGTGTCCATTTGACAATCTGATTCTCAAACTGCATAACATGGCTTAGTTTCTGGTCATTAATTAGAATTATTATTTTAATTTCTTGTTAGCAAATATTTCCCAGTCTGGTCTTGTTTATACAATCAGAAATTTACCAGCTGTTTACTCTATAGTCAGCTTATCTCCATATCTTAAAATGAACAGAAATTTAAAAAAAA